AACAACAACAACAACAAAACAAAAACAAAAAAAACGCTGCGGTGAAGGCTAGTTTAACTCTCGCTGCGGTGAAGGCTAGTTTAACTCTCGTATTTCTTTATATATTTCTTTTTTAATCATATATAACAGACAGTAAGCCATATAACTTTAGGTTCTATAATAATGATAATAATAATTAACTTTGTTTATAGAGAATAACACTGTAATTCAACTGATAAACGTGTGGTCCTCTTTTAACGTCTCTAGTTAATTAGGGACGGGACCGCCATTAACGTGATCATCAGAGCCACGTGAAGGTCCAACCATTTGCAGATGTAATTACAAAGGCAGCACCCTCTCCTCAGTTATTTAAAGACCCTGGGTGTTGGTCCGTCCCCCAACACCTCCCCCCCCCCCCCCCCACCGGGAGAACGCACATCCGGCCTGAATGTAATTCAAGGATTGAACGTACAACATGTACGCAAAAATACTTACGTGACCCGACTGCTATAAGGATTCCTGTCTTTTTTAGAATCAGTGAAGACTGCTCGCACATTAATCTTTTGATGGCTTTGGCATTTGATTTCTTGTGTGCAGCTAGGGGTTCAGGCACCGAACATCGCACTCTGCGGCATCGCCATCGAATCCCGTATTCATGTCGGTGTTTAGGGCATATAGTCATAGTATAATGTGATTCTTCAAGCGTAAATACACCTGATGAAATTGAAAATGCTCTTTAAAAAACTCATATGATAAAGACATTATTAGAAGTACGACAGTTACCTKCACGAGCCAGAATCAAAGCCATTTCACTCTCAAGAGATCGGTCCTCTGAAATACCGTATACCTGTAAATGTCTGGAAATGTCTCTTTGACATTCAGTTAGGGGAATGCATTTTAACTGGTCGGGGTAGTCCRAACAGAGTCCACAAGTACTATCTCCAACCAGCTCCGAAAAGCTACAAAATGCCATCGTCCGACCACTACGTGTACAGCTAGGCTGACGATGAAAATAACTTCTTATGCAATCTTGTAAGTTTCGAAATTTCTATACGATAATGATTAACTTTGCGGTAATTTATTCCATGGTCTGATTTGTGTGGTTCGTTCTGTTCAAAAATAT